ATTAAATGGCACATTTTTATTTCTGGACTAAACACAAAAAAGCAAGACTGAGCTTTGAAAAGTACCAGGACAACACACAAATGAGAAAAAAATCATAGGCTACTTGAATCAAATCAAAGACCTTCCCACCATTCTTTCCTCTCAAATAGTAATCACTATGTGGCCAATGTGTCAAATGCAGTTACAAAGTAATATACTGCAAGTTTTGTGCTTTGGTCTTTAATCTTACCGTTCTTAAGTCCTGGGGAAGTTTAGATTATAAAGTTGATGTAACACCAACAAAAAATCAGTAAAAGTGGTTGATGAAAACAGCATCGGAATTTCTCTTGGCTGGTTCTTCTAAATATATGCTAGGTATAAGAAAGAACATATTTTAGGAAAAAAAAAAAGGTACCTGAGAATGTTACCTGCTTTCAACTTAAAATGTTTTTTATACAAAATCATTTAAACAAAACTTTTCAGGAAGAAATGACCATTCATAGCATAAAACTACACATTATTCCCTATGTGCTTAATTTGAATTGTTAGTGTTGAGTGTCTTACGTAGTATGAATACTCTTCCCATTAAAACAGAATATTCCTAGGTAGCAACAATAATGCTGACTTGAGCAAATTTCTAGGAAAATATCAAGTTTTACAGATCTCAGTATCTGTACAACTGCTTATCAAGGAGAAAATTTTCAACTTTTTGCCATTTTTTCCCAGAAACTTCATTTGAGAATTTTTGCAGAATGTTACCTTTTACAAAATATCTGAATGTTGAACTATTTATCACCTAGCACACAGTAAGTTACATATAGGAACAAGTCAACAGAATTGTTCTAAGCAGATACATAAAAAAAAGTAAATGAGTTACTTTTAACCTTTAGCCATTTTCTAATTAGCTGACATTAGGTTATTAGACCACCTCTTCACAGTAATTTTTAACTTTTTGCTAAATGGTGTCCGGGTCACTTTATCATTGCTAGGACTTACTATCTGGTATCTACAAATGAGGTATACTTTGACTCAACTCTATTAGCTTCAGTCCACTTCTGGCAGTTTAAACATGTTGCATGGGAGAAAGGCCTGGGGCTAACAAAGGTGATCAGGGCAGCTGACAGCAGAAGGAGCTAGATTAGGGGGCCACACCCACAATGACCAGCCTCTTCTGACTAGGCCTGGTCTAAGGCAGGTCACCAATAACACCCCGTAACTCCATCACCTTCTAGCAAGCCACCCCACCCCTGTGAGCTCAGGAGGCTTTGGGGGCAGGGTCCAGATATAAACCACGACAGACAGACAGACAGACGGGGCCATGGAAACTTAGTGAACCTATATTTACCTAATGACTTCTGCTACACAAATAACTGCCTGAAATTGTTTACCAAGTGTTTTATCGTTTTTTAAAAATAGTGAAGAAATGAGTCTTTACAAAATAGCTTAGAAAAACAAGTTTTCTATTTATTTAAAAATAAGTTTATAGTTACTACATTGCAGGGACAGAAATTCTTACACATACATTCTAGTTTGTATAAAAGGATCCAAAGAATTATGCATCAAAACTAACATAGAAAGTGTCCACGTAACAGTAAAGAAAGGTCCAATCAGTATGTACAAAAAGAAAGGGCACTGCTATTGTGGTGTGAGACCGCTGTTCATAACTTGATACTCTAGGTCTGGAAGGAGAAACCAAAAACCTTAATAAAGCTAAGTCATTAATTTGCTTTTTTAACTCTTGTGTTATCACATACAACAGATTCGCTTGTGTTTAACATTTTCTGTACAAAATAAACAATTTTAATTTGAAAATGTGTCAGTTTCAACTTCAACCCTCTAGGTCAGTTACTTAAAAATTGAGCTACACTCTACACATGTCTAAATATCCCATGACAGGACTTAAAGAGTTTTCTAAAAGATCTCTTTAGAAGACCTGTCTTCTTGCAGTTTTAATATGGTCCAAAAATGTAACTTTGTGTTTTGTCTCATTTTATAATAGTGTATCATTGTGAAAATCCAACACACATTCTCAAAAGTAACCAGTATGTGTGGGTACTACATTCCATCTTCAAGCTATTTCATTAGCTCCTTGAATGTAGAAAATCAGCCACACACTATTATGTATTTGGTTTGTGCCATATAAGGTTAATTTCCTGATAATTTTATCTGCATTAGAAAAGTATTTCAAAACAGCTATCAAAACTAAAAATATATATTGATATATATATAGCTCAGATTTTTCTAGTCACTGTTTTACTGTAGTGTGTACAAGGTTTATATCACTGGAGCACTCTTCCGACTCAACTTCAGACTCAGCAACCTCTTCCTGAGTGCTGCACACAGTTCAAAATGAGTTCGCGTGCTTTGCTAATTATAATTAACCAAAATAATTTAGTAAGTGTATATTAATTTTAGCTCAAATCACTTGGAAAGTAGAGGTACTAAGGGGAAGTGCAAGAATGGAAATGAGGAAAAGTATTTTTCCAGTATTAACAGGAAGATGAATTATTACCTGCATGTAACTGCTCAGCTTTAGAAATACTGTCTAGATAAGCTGGAGGGTAGTGCACAGAGGATAAAATGCCCCATTATGACTTTTAAAACCACACCTCTTCCATACAAGGTGAACATTTACAGCCCTTTTAATCATTCAAATATCTTGGTCCTTTCAAACTATTCAAACAGATTTTAGGTGAACCAAAAGATTCAGAATAAACTTGTTTTCTTTATATAGAAAGCAGAAAATCTAAACTGCTTCTAGCTTACATTTGAGAAATATACAGGTAGCTATGTATGTATAAAATGGAATGTGAAAATTAAACACTGCTAAGTGGAGGGGCTGACTTATAACATTTTAAACATGTAAATACTGCAAATGTCACACAAAATGTTAACTCAACACACTTGCTAAGATATCTGATTAATCTACTATGCTCCAAACAAGGGACAGTTCTAGCTGGTGTGTGAAGACTTTTCTCTATTCATTGTGTCTTATGTTCACTTTCAAATGATAGCCAATCCCATGTAATCTGATGTAATCTAATCAAACTCACAAATATGACAATTTGTAATAATGCCACCAGAGTCTTTTGTAGTGAGGCTGCGCATTAGAAACAATGCCAATAAATCTTAAAATCATAAATATATACAGAACACAGTCCAACACTGTGACAGCATTGTTAAGGTTAAAATTTTAAGAAGCTATACATCTATTGCAGAGGTTGTAAGATTGTAATTAGACTTTATACTTGAACTACCCAGTGGCAAAGTGTAACTCTTGTTAAGATTTATCTGGGATGTCCTGGGGTAGAGAGAACATTAGCGTTGAGGACTTAAAATATGTGAAGTGTTTCTACATTCCATGCAAGTGACAAGTATTTCTGAAGCTTTGGATAAATTTGAGTTTTACTGCTCACCTAAGAAGTGCCAGTATTTTCCTCTGTCCTTACATATACAATGTTACTACTTCAAAGAAGATAGTTTTCCAAGTGGTAAAACTAAACAAAAATATGTTGATGAATTATATTTTTTAATTCAACTTTTGTAACATATAGAAGCTAAATTATAAAAATATATAAAATCTAAATATATCTGGTATTACTAATACATTTTTAAGTGATTCAGTTACAAATAATCTGATCCAAGTCATTTTGCTTTACTAAGAAACCAGTGTCTGAAAATGTCCAAATATGGTCATAAATATACAGTGTCTTTAGAACAGGAATAACATATTTATGTGTGATAGGAAAGCTGGCAAATCCTCATTTTCTGTGCTCCAGAGTTAGAACTAACCCATACACCACACTAGAGGCTCTCACCCTAAGACTGTATGTACTTCCTTCTTCTGCACACATCTGCAAAACTATACACATTTTTTTTTTTACAAAAATGGATTTTATAGTCTATTATTTTTCCCTAACACAATGCAGATAACATCAGGAAATTACATATTTCAAATAGATTGCCTTCAAAAGCACCTAATTACTTTGATTTAAGTTTCAAACATATACACTATTATTTTCAATAATGATGTAACTGAGACTCATTTTTCTATACAACCAAGCCTTCCATTTCTGCATTATGAAGTTTAACTACTGAATTTTAATTATATAGTTAAATATATTTGATAGAAAAAAATAAATATACAAAAAACCTGAAAAATTTGAAATTATTTTTTCAACTGCAAAATCACAGCAATTCAGTCAAGATCTGGAAAATGGTTTACTTAATTTCACAGGAGAATTTCTGTACAAATTTAGTTACAAACGATCTAAAAAGCCCAAATGCATCACTTTTCATTCTTCTTCAAGACAATTAAATGACAGTTAACATTTATCCTATCTGCAATGAGAAAAGAAATAATTATGTAATATATTTTGTCACGGTTCAATTAAAGACTTTATTTTTCTACATCAGAATCATGCTGATACATATTTTCTCCATTCTTGCTTTTTAAAAATGTAGTATCCTGAAAATTTTGGTTACATTTTTGTACCATATCAGTCCTCAGAAAATACTACATTCTTTAAACTTTAAAAAAAAAATTGGACAATAATTTTTAAACAATAGAAATGGTATTTATGTTGGGTCTTAAGGTATAAAATAACTAACTGTACCATAAACAAATAAATAACTGCTTTCCTTTTCCATAGCAGTACATATAGCAATACATTCTCCTAAGTCATATAGTTATCATTTACAATAGACAACTTAAATTTTACTAATGATGCAAAAAATAATAGAATACAAGGCACAATCATTAAATGGAGTTTTTCTTTAGGGTGTATACTGACATACCAGCGTGATAAAGATACGGTTAAAAAGTGCAGAAAAACACAATGTGCAATGAGACCACTGTATAAAACATGATTGCATAAAAAGTGATTTGGCCTATTTTAACCTTTAATAATTGAAAATAACCAATCTTTTCCTTAAAATTAAAACTATAAAGTATGACATTTTAAAATTATTTTTATTCTACCACTATCTAAAAAATCCTGAAAAAAGAATTTATACCTGGGTATATATAAGTATGTGTTTGTATATATATTTAATTATACCCATTTATCAATATATACACATACACACACAGACACATTTCTTTGTAAGCCATTTTAGCCTATCAGATATGTCTAAAGTTTAGAAATGACATTAATCCAGATCAACAAGTAAACATCAAGTCTCATACCTTTTTTCCTGTATTTTCCTTGAATCCTTTAACCACTTACACATTTTCTCTAAGACATCTCTGTCAAAGGACCCACCAGTGCATTATTTTCTACTCAGTACCAAAAAAAAGATATATCTCAGCATAACTCTTTAATAACTTGCTCTTTAGAATAAATAGCCTTTCTAATATTGAAAAGTGTATGCTGTCCTGACAGTCAAAAACAGGCTTTCCACTGCACTGATTTTCAGTCTTTGGCACAATAAACAGAGATTGAGTGATTGATATAAGAATCAAGGTCTGAAAAATTAGACAGTCAAATGTTTTCCAATGTGGATATGTTTCCTTTTCATCAGTATATTTTCTCTTAAGTTTGGCAGAAATGGAATAAAGCAAAATCCTCTTCTAGGTCTTCATAGATGAGCATTCTATAACTAAAAGTTTTTAGGATATTAAATGGTGAAAATTTTCTATTTACCTTTACAGGAAACACATTTCTTAAATTACTGCTACTCTGTGTAACATCTCTTCCTAGGGGCATGACTTCCATATCAATACAAATGTACCTTGCTTGGCCAAAAGTAATTTTTCCGAACATGAAATGCTCTATCACTAGGAATACTATGCTCCCTAAGAGAGCAGCAGCGCTGTCACTTCCATGAGTTAATCAGGAACTCAAGCGGCCCTCAATTTCTTCTGTTTCAAACACTGAATGAAATGAATGTGGAAATGCATAACCTATCTAAGGGCAATAAATAGCAAACATTTAAAATATATATGTATACATTTATATATATTCATTTGAAGAAGTGAAGTGTCTTCTAAGGTTTTCTTTTGCAAGTCAAATCATAACATTCCCTAATCCACCATAGCAGCAAGGAAGCAGAAGCCTTAGTTCTACTTACTCCTTAACTGTACCTGCTTCATAGATTTTTGAAGTAAATATTTTGGTTCAAGTTACCAACCAATTAAATTAGCTTTCGCTTTTTCAGTCAACTTTCGGACTCGTCCTCTACTAGAAGTTCCAAAAGTTAAAGAAGTGTCTTCAAACAGCAACTGCCTCTGCTCCTCCTCAGAGTCGTCCTCATTATAGAAAGCTGTCCTCCGACCTTGGTTTCGAGTTCTCATGTGGGGCTCAGAGCCTTTGAGTGTGTCAAACTCTTCCTCCTCATCTATAATAGGGTCATCTGCCTTTTTCCGGTTACTTCTCCTTAGTACTTTAACATTGGAAGGAACTAGGAGATCTGCATCTAACTTTTGTGTTTTTGTCTTCCTTTTGGGTTTTCTGCCTCCCCGACTCTTTTTCTGTAGCAAATCCTCCTTAACGATATTTGTTTCAGGCAGAAAATTGCATGTTGAAGAAGGAACCACTTCATCTCTGCTGGGATGCAAATTATTCTGCTCTATATTTTCTGACTTTGCATACTGTGGTTTTTTAGGCTTTCTTCCCCTTTTCTTGTGTATCACTTCACTGTTACTGGTATTCACATCTCCCTTGGGCTTCCTTCCAGGCCCCCTCTTCACAAGTTTTGATGGCTGTCCTCCATGGCCATTTACTTGAATGGTTCCAGGTATAAGAGCATTGTTCTTATAATCTCCTAAAAGGGAAAAAACAACATACTTACAATGTGGAATTTCTTTGTGGGCCCATCAAGTTAGTCAATAAAGGGCTAGTAGTACGTGCAATAACATAATTTGAATTTTTTTACTAAAATAAAAAAAAGTGACTAAAGGCTGACAGAAAAATATCCATAATAAAGTTAGTAATGACTTCATGGGGGAAGTGAAAGTTTAGAGAAAATCAACAACCTAAATTACTGATGTAATTGATGACAGCTGAGATTAACAAAGGTATCTTTCTTCTATTACCTTTACTATACATTCCAACGCATGAGTTTTGTTTGAACCACACAAAATGTTTATTTGCATAGTATAATAATGAAGTATTTTATTGTTTAACTCATTAAAGGGTTTTTCTGTAGTCCAAGCAGTTCAATTATGGAAAATAATCTTAACGTCCAATTCAGAACCATTTAATTCATAAATCTGAATTAAAAAACCACAGTACCCCCTGCTTTCTTCTCATCCTCTGATCTGAGTGAAGAGTAAGAGATAATCAAGACAAATTCTAACTCTGACACTGTTCTGAATGTGATTGCTCTATGATGTTAGAAGAGTGAAGAGTTATCAAAATAGTTTATATCAAAAGATGCTATTTCAAAACTTGAAAGGTACTGAGAAAGTATTAAATGAGGAAAAAAAATACATTCCAAAGAAGGAAGAATGGGACAAGGACACCTAGAGACTTCAGCTGGAACATACAAGGGAGAAAAATGGTAAGGAAATCTGGAACATTAGGAAAGAACCAAGTAATGAAAAATCTTGTTTAACAAGCAAAACTAAAACTTAAAAAACTGAAATTTAAAAACAAGAGTTTATATAGTTTGAGAAGGGAAGGATTTTAATTTTGTGTCAATGTGTGTACATAGATGCTAGACAGCAACGTCAGAAACATCACTTGGGCTGCAATGGGAAAGGTAGACTAGAGCAGAGATGTTAAATACAAAAAATTAGCCAGCGAACTAAGGAAACAGTTCAGGCAAGAAATGATGCACATCTGAGTTAAGGCCATAGAAGTAAAAACAGACTTCAGAGGTATAATGGACAGGAAGTTGCTGAGCACATTTGGGCACTGGAGAAAAGACTAGGAGAACTCGCCAATTTCAAGCTCATGTAGGTGGACAGCTCTCAATGCATTAGCTGAAACAACATTTCAGCAAAAAAACTAAATTTTGAGTGAGGTATTTATGTTAGGAAATGTCTTAGGCATACTCTGGAAGCCATGACACAAAACATTTACTATTAGACTGTCTGTGGCCCTGAAGCTACTGTTTTAATATTCCATATGATAGATTTTACCAGTGATTCTCCCCATCTTTCAAGTGTAACAGACTTTCCAAAAAATTCTGCACTTAAAAGAACTTGGGAGCATAACTGGAAGGAACCATAAGTTGTACACTAAACTGACGCCCCACTACAGACAACGCAGATGAATTATCATTTAATGTGTTCTATCTACTTTGTGACCTAACAACTATTTAAAGGTAAAGAACTCTACCGTGGGTTAAGTGAATCAAATTTAATTTAAACTCTGAAGATGTATTTCTTAAGGTGTTGTAATAATGAACTTAAAAACTAATTTATAACATTAAAAGCCTCTAATTGTAATAATTTTTTATTTACATACAGTGAGCTCTTCTTGCCTCTTTAAATTTAGTGACAATACAGCTTGCTATTGCTATAACCTGCAAATTAAAGGATCTCATTACATTTATCAGCTAATACAGACTGTGTGACTTAAACAGGCAACCCAGAAATTGGAGACAAATGCTAACCCCAAGAAAAGCATCATTTGTAATAAAGATATGCTTATTACAATGTGTCAGTGTGTATATATAGTTGGAAGATTTTCTGTCAATGTCTGTATTGACATTGATATTATTACATTTGATATTATCAATTACATTGATATTGATATTATTACAATGTGTCCATGTGTGTACATAGATGGAAGATTAATTTTGTGTCAATGTGTGTACTGACATTGATATTTATATTGATATACTGTCTATGGAAGAATACCAGGGCACTTTACCTTGCTCAATGACAGCTGTTGACTTTGAAAGAGTGGATGCCTTTGAGAGTATAGATGACTTCATTTTACGTTTAACTGGCTTTTCCTTTTCCATGTTTTCTTTTGCAGAGTTGTTCTTAGCGCCATGACTGAAAGTGGACTGACCAGGACTTGAAAGAGTATTCAAGGCTTTGGAATGTTTCATGGAATTTTCCAGTACTAAAACACAAACCCAAAAGATTAAAAGTTGAGACTTGTTGACTCTAAATGGAAGTACAATGTTTGAGATTGCTTCTAACCTGAATTGCTTGAATTAGCCAAGAAGACAAAACCTATGGGATGCTTAAAGCTTCCTCTAGAAAGATACTTTCTTTTTTTAGTGCTAGTGAATGAACCCATGCCCTCATGCACACTAGGCAAGCACTGTACCAGTGAGCTGCACTTACAGCCCAGGATACATACTGTTTAATAAGGAAATGGCATACCCAAATAGAAACTCTAGTAACTGTAGCATTTGCTGAAGCTATTTAATTAGTTCAAAATTATGAAGGTAAGTCTTGGCAAACTACTAGCAAGTTTAGATACTACAACAAATTCAGGCAGTTTGGATCTGTTTGTTACTTTTAAAGCATCATTCTATTCCTACATCTGAATTTTCTTATCTAAAACATTTTTAAAAAGAAGAACAATCAGAAGGAGAAGAAAATCGAGTGCAAAAAATTACTAAAACTCAGAGAAAAGTAAAAATCTAAAAAGCAGCAGAAAGAGCAACAATTACCACCTACCAACGGTACTTCCATTAAGAAACTGTAACTAAGTCTTACCTGTTTTCCCTGGTACTGCAGATGTGTTAGCTTTTGCAATGAAACTCTTTACTGCAGCTGATGAAGTAGATGGCTGCTCGGTAGAGACAACTGGATCTACAATCACTCGGTTGCTTCTGGTTCGAACCACAGAACTGGATTCTGTTTTGCCATTTATCTGAGCAGCATTATGTCTTGGTGGTACTGATCGTGTAGGTGTGGAAAGTGAAGAGGTAGAGATTTCTGACTTTAGTTGGGGTTTTAAGATCCTTTTTTTCCTTTCAGGGCTGTAAGTAAGATCATACTGTTAGTCATTCTTATAGGTCTAAATAATTAAATAAAATTTTATAGTACTTGCTGGATTCAATATTTGTATTATGAAATATGTTAAAATATGAGATTTGTAGTGGATTTCATATGGTTGTGAGCCTTTGGAAAGTGAATTATTTAGTGAAGGATTGCCATAAATGCTACAGTTATGACAGAGAGCATGATGCCATCACTACCCTAAAAATGCTGTTTTACTTTGTAGATTTAGCGGTTTGAATTTAAGCACTTACACTAGTAAAGCTTTAGTTTAAAAGATTAAAAATCCTCCACATCATAGGAACTTGCATGTCAAATATATCATTCTGCAATATAGGGAATAGTAAAGGAAGTATTAAAAAACACCAAATTCTATCATTTAGATGACAAAGTTATAGACCAGTTATGAAAAGAAAAAGTATTACACACCTGGATGCAGCACTACTTGACATAGAGCTGCTTCTGTTTCTTTTCTTTCTCCTTTTGGTTAAGGTATTTCTTTTATGAAAACGAAGAGCAGACTTATAATCTGACAGAACTGAACTAATGTGTTCTTCAAAGAAAGCCGACAGGCGCAAACTCATGCTGTAAATCTATGGAAAGAAAAAACACCACAAAACTGTGATCAAATATGCTTCAAAGGAAATGCCTGCTCAGTGAAATGTATTTTTGCTAATAGAATGTTTTTAGAATTTAAACACTGCTTTTGATATTCCTTTTTCCCAATCTTTTCGGATAAGAATTAACTAAAACATTTTTACATTGAAATTATTTTTGAGTTTAGATTAGGAATTTTTTGAGTTTTGAAATTCTTAAAGAATGAAGTTTTACTCTGAATTCAGATGGCTCATGCAGACCAAATTCACTATGAACGATTTTATGGAAACTAGGCCTGAAGGTTTGCTACCAGAGATTACTACCTATCCTTTCACTGGCATACACCACTCCTTTGTAGTATCTTTTTAACAAAGAGAAGTAGTTATTTGTATTGTTACTTATTTCTCAGCTTCACAAAAATTCTCCCATTCACTAATGTACCTAACAGTTAGAACTTAAGCTCACAAAGGTCCGGTTTATACAAATACAATTTGTGCACAGTATCTACTGTATCACTATACTTCAAGAAAAGTAAACACCCCTAAACATCAAAGAATGACAGCAGTAATATTTCATAGAGGGTACTGAGAAGAAAGGGGTAACAGAACCCTGTGTTAATCAGAAAGTTAATTTTATTCTAAATTTTAAATAGGCAACATGTAGCTATGTAACATAAAAGAAAGATAATTATATACCCTTGATCTTTTACTTGGTGTGTATGCTTTGGAATTACTAAAAATAAGCCTGACATCTTTACATAACTCCATTGGTGACTCATAATTTCCAGCCTCTAAAGTTTCTCTAACAGTAGCAAAATCCATTGGCGTATCAATAATGTCTCTGTAGTCCTAGAGGGGAGAAAATAAGTGGTATTATTATTACTACTTCTCAGCACAGGATACATACAACAGGACAAGTTGTAGGACTATTAATAAATACTCGTAAAAAACAACAAACCCAAAACTTTATACTACCTGTAAATTCTAAAGACTACTGACTCACTGAAACACAATTCTACAATATGAGGAAATAAAAAATAAGGAAGAATGGTAACGTCCCATTTACATAGAGGCTTGAGTTCTACTAACTTCAATTTGCAGTGATCAGGGATCACGAATAGCTGTCCCAAGGTCTTCAAACTTCACTTCGGAAGGAAAATAAATCCCTCAAGGTCTCTTCACCTAGCTTGCAGGACGGTTCTCATTATTTGCTGAATACTGTCTACATTATTTTGAATACGGAAGAGGAGACTGCATTCTTTAATGTACTTTTGTAAGTTTGGAAAATAAGTTATTTTCTTTGTAGAAACTTGTTTCTTATTCCCCAGGAATATTACATTTAACTGTACTACTCTAGAAAGAGAGAATGTAGATTTTCATTCTGCTCCTCTCAGTAAACAGCTGTATATCTTGGAGAATGGAACCCAAGTTCAACGTTAGTAAAATGAGCGGGCTGCACCACTGTTCCAAGTCGCTTTCATTTTTCTCTATTTTGACACTTTTTGTCTTTAAAGTTTTGATCTTCTATTATTCTAAAGAAAGATTTTTTCCTCATACATTACACTCAGGAATCATGGTTTGTCAAGTATTTGTCAACCAAGAAAACTGTCAGCCATTAGTACCTTCTCTCTGTTCTAGGTACTCTCCCAC